TGGACTCGATGATCTCAAAGGTCTTTCCCAGTTGAGGCCATTCTGTGATTACCCTGGATCCCAGTGGTCCTGTTTTTGTCCCATCACTGTCACCCTCATCCTCCTGCCTGTGAATCCACAGCTGTGTTGCACAGTAGGAGCAGGACTCAGGACGCCCCATGGGGAGGTGGGAAGCAGGAGCAGCTACACAGGGGACTTTTGATGGGACCTGATTTCTGAAGTGTTTCTCCTCTCCAGGGCTCTGCGTCCTCCAGGCTGGTTGCCCCAGTGGCACTGTGGAGTCAGGGTTGTCTCCAGCAAGAAGCTGGTTGGATTTATCAGCGCGATTCCAGCCACTATCCACATCTATGACACGTGAGTGCTGCTCAGCTGCATTTTCACCCTTCCCCTTGATGGCACGTGGGGCTTCCTGGCAGCACTGAGGAGGTCTGGCTGAGTTGTTCTCACTCACCAACCTACACCGTTCATCTGTGGAGATGCTTCACTGCTTGGAGGAGCGGGTGGGGGATGTTTAAGGTGGGCAGTGAAGTTCTGTGCAAGGACATCTTGTAGTTAGAAGCCCCGAAAGCTGTTTTCCCCAACAAGCAAGATCAGCTTAGAGCTCTGACCTACAGAAACCCTCCAGAGCTGGATGGATTTTCCTGGGAAGACTTTGGGTAACAGCTTAAAGGAGAATTCTCCAAACTCAGCTCTTGCCCCTCGGCCTTCCCCAAGGCTTTGACTCTTTCTCCTGAAAGGGTTGGAGGTAAATTGCCCAGGGTGTTGGACCAATCCTCCCAGGTCAGGACAGTCGGGTCTCATGCTCTGCATTGTGTCTTTCCCAAGAGAGAAGAAGATGGTAGAGATCAACTTCCTGTGCGTCCACAAAAAACTGCGCTCGAAACGGGTGGCTCCAGTTCTGATCCGCGAGATCACGCGGCGGGTTCATCTGGAGGGGATCTTCCAGGCTGTTTACACTGCAGGAGTGGTGCTGCCAAAGCCTGTGGGGACTTGCAGGTGAGTGCCTGTGCTTCTCCAAAGCGATTTTGATCTGTAGACCTTCCCTTGCTGGGATCCCTTCTGTGACATGTAGCGTGTGTGGGATTCCCTGGGACAGCAGAGATCAATTCCAGCCTTAGGTTTCTCCTCCCCACACCGTCCTTCCAGGATTAAATCCAGTAGCTTTGCTTAAGCTGCCCGTACATCAAAAGACAGGAGACTTTGTGCAGCACAAGCCCTTCCAGCCACCCTTGTTTTTCTCTGGGGGAGCTGCTGGCCTCTGACAAGCCAACGTGATGTTCTCGCTTGCCCTCTCATGGCAGTCACGAGAACCTCGTGCCCGTGTGGCCCCATCCCGCTGGCCAACAACAAGTCTCCCACTGCAAGTGTGTTTCTGCAGGTACTGGCACCGGTCCCTGAATCCTCGGAAGCTCATCGAGGTCAAATTTTCCCACCTGAGCAGGAACATGACTATGCAACGTACCATGAAGCTTTACCGGTTGCCCGAGGTGGGTGCCAGCCGCAGAGGAGGCAGAGCTGACGGATTGCTCCTCGCTGAGCGAGGGGCGAGGCTGGGAACTAGAGACACAAACATCTCGGCCGAGGTCAAGTCCTCTGCCTGGAGAACTGGGCTTTGTTTCGTGTAGTAAATGACTCTGTCAAGCCACTGTGCTTTATTTAATCTTTATTTATTTTTGCCTGAGTACCTGCGTTTTAAGGGCAAATTCTTGCAGCCTGAGGACCCTGTGAGCTTTTGTTTCGTGGTGAGTCACATCTTGTCCTCCTGGTAAAACGAGAACACAGATATGACAGCCTTCATCTGTCCAAACACAGCCTCGGAGTGACCTTGAATTGGGTTTAGTCTCTCATTTTTCAGTCAAACTGATCAGTTCTGTCACTGCAAGTTGTCCTGCCTGGGGAAGTTCCCCAGCTGGAGATGAGAGACAAGACAAACAAAGCATTAAAATTGCCACCACCTTCCCTGACCTTGTTTGTTGGCTTCTTCCCGTCAGTCAGAGCCGCTCGTTGCGGTCGGTGAGCGCTGGGCAGCACACGGCTCCTGCCTCCTGCTGCAGCAAAGCCACCAGCTGCTCTTTTGTACCAATTTTTATGTAGAAACCCAGAAGCTGCTTGGTCTGGGCTTTGCTGAGTGAGCCCAGCCTTAGATTAGAAATCAAATCCAACTGAAAATAGCATCAGGTGGTTCCTTGAGGTGCCTGGGGTTCATCTCCCAGCCCGTCCCCGCTGCAAGCGGGAGCAGAGACCTGGAGGCAAGCAGAGATCTTGTGTCATGAGTGGGTAGGAGGCCACTTCCAGTGGGACTTGAACTCTCATGTAGGGCTTTGGGACCTGATGTACTTCTCTGCAGTCGTTGCCATCTGATCACACCCATTCTTCTTCCAAGCACTGTGAGAGGGGGGGGAAACTGGGTTGTGGGACTGAAAATGGGTTGGTCTAAGCAGAGGGTGTCTCCGTGCCCCTTGTCAGAGAGCCCTTGGGTGATAAAAGCCACCATGCAAGCAACGCAAATGCTTTGTCCCCCTTTCTGTAGACTCCCAAGACTCCCAGCTTGAGGCCAATGGAGCATCGAGATATCTCTGCAGTGCACAAGCTCTTGACCGAGTACCTGAAGCAATTCCACCTGACACCCGTCATGAGCCGAGAGGAGGTGGAGCACTGGTTCTTACCTCAGGAGAACATCATCGACACCTTCGTGGTAGAGGTGAGGGGGCAGGAGAAAGATGGGAGGGTGTTTTCCTGGGCTTCTCTCTCCACTGGAAGA